GATTATATAACTTGGTAAAGTCTTCACTTAAGTCATTGTTTAATCTTGATGTAAAAATTCCACTTTCACGTTGGTGGAAGATCGATTTCTGTATGTCAGATATTTCCTCTGAAAGGGTCAAATTATTAGAGTGTAAATCTTCGATCATTGTCAGAGGCAAGTGGTGATTAGTTATTTTCCAAAGGAATAAATCAGTTATGTACTCATTCGTCGAAATTATGATTGAGTTCTATGATATAATTGACCTTTTCCTTGTCACTCAGCCCCCGTTTGTATATCATTATTTCAAAAAATTATTTCCTACAGTAAGATTCTCCACCACACATTCACCCAATAAAATATTCTACACACAAACCAATACATTTACTTTAATTTTCAACCACTCATTCTTCAAAAAATATTATTCATTAATCTATTTTTCTCCCAATAATGGGAGACAAACACACCCTAAATATCGTAGAGCATTGTGTAATTGACTTTTGAGACGACCACTTGCTAATTAAGCACCTTAAAAAGAGGTTTTTTTTTTTTTTTGGAGAAAATTAGTTTTGAAATACTGATTTTTTAAAAAAAATTATAGTTAAAAAAGTAGAAAAAAGTTTTGGATTTATGTGCAGAATACTTTATTTTGTGAATGTGTGGTTGAAAATGAATTTGAAAAAAAAAAATGAATTTTGGTTTCAAATACTTTGGTTGGTGATTGTTGAGGTGGGACAATAATTAAGAAATTAGCGTGGGATGATAACAAGCCAAGTCAAAGAACGAGGCTCAATCCCTTCTATAACGTTATTTGACGGACAAGATAGCTTTTTCACCAATGCCTTCTCCCATTTGTTTAATCTACTTTGTAAATTATGAGAATGACATTTGTTAGACTTTTTGAACTTGTATGATTAGGATCGCTGCTTCAAATATCTAAAAATCAAATTGATGCTTTTTATACCAGACATTCAAAGACTTGACTCTCGTTGTGTGGAATTGTAATCTTCATAATTTTAAGTTACGTAGCCTAATTATTATCGATCCTCATTATTATCACTTTGTGGAATTGGCCGTAGATCTTCCATCGCGGGGAGATCGCCGGGGGATTGGAAGCCTCCTGTCCCTAGACCAAAATTTAATCAAAGGACGATTTAGGAAGTTGTATTCTTATAAAATTCTATGAAGAAATTTGACTCCTTGTAAAATTCGAATTTACCCCAATTTATCTTATAAATAGGGAGTTGTCCTTACCCTTTATGATTATCATAAAAAAGAGAGAACGAGATGATAGAGAAGATAAGAGTGTGCTTTTCTCTTATAAACCATTTTTTTTTTTATCATAGTGAATAACTGTAACGGCACGATGAGACGTAATCTTAAATTGAGGTAAACCTCTATAAATCTTGTGTGTTCATGAGTGTTTTTTCTTATTTTCTTTCTTTGAATTGATTGCTTTCGAT